AGACTAGCAAGAAATGCAATGATGGATGCAGGTATTGTGAGATGTTAGGAGCAATGTTATATTTTTATAAAGCAATTCCTACTGTATAAAATTCAAAAGATAAATTTCACTACTTGAATTAACATAAATAAATACTTTTTTTTATTTTATGAGTTTATGTTTCAAGCAATGTTTCTGCTTTTCCTTGTCCATGCAATGTATCACATCTCTGTGGTGAGAGATGAACATTGATGTGTAGATTTACTTGAGAATTTGCGGTGGCCCTGTTTACAATCTGGTCTGATCTTTTTGTCAGAAGTAAAAGCTTAAAGGACACTGCTACTAGCAAGGGTCTTGGAAGTTCTCCCACCACTAGAAATCATGATCAGTTTTAAGAAAAATGGAAAGTTGAAGAAATCATTTAACATTAGTGTTCCTTAAAAAGCTCTCTCTTTTATCTTCCTTTGGATTCATTAATTATAGATACATGACATGATTTATAGATACTGGCAAAGATAGAGGTGGAAATTACTCACACTAGGAACTCAGACTCGACTCCTGGAAGGAGGGGTGCATGCTGTTAGATGTTCTGCAGTACAAAGAGACACGAGATTCATACCATATGACATGTTCTTGGACACTGTAGAGCTATGTAGGTTTTGCCCCCAAAATTCAGGTTGGTCATTGGAAAATATTGGAATTGTTTGTATTAGTTAATATGCTTTTACCTCTACCAAATAATACAGATTATGAAATTCTGCATCTGTTACAAGGACCATCCCAAACTTCCTAAGCACATGAGAATCAAATCACTTAAATTATGTCTATTTCATATTCTGAGTGCATACATTTGCAATTAGCTATCTCAGGCATATTTCTTTCATTTAATTTCACCATCATCAAGTAGTATTTATTAAGCACAAACCTGGATAATTAATTTTCTCAGAATAACAGATATTCTTACATTCATTCCAATTAAGAGTCCTTAATATATCTACCTGATATATGATATTTTTCTCTTAGCAAAAATTGTGCTTAAATTTTAATTTTTATCTTAACATTTCAAAGTTTCAACAGGATAGATTCTACTCCCAGAGTCAGCTTATCCAAATAAAAAATGCTATTCAGAACAAGTACAACAGATTCCATCAGATTTATATTTTTACTACATTGTGTTAATGTTACCTAAATTTTTCAACTATATACTTTCTTGTGATTTACATAGCAAAAGAAGCAGTTTAGGTAAGTAACAGCATAGCTATAAAATGTACTTTGGTTAAATTTTTTAAAATTAATAGTTCATCAAAACTAAAGAAAAGAAAATCTACTGATCTAGGAATTCAAGATGTTTAGCAAATGCCTATGTAAATAACTGAGGTCTTTGAAGTGACTACAGATATTTTATTTGTGCTACCCTTGAGAAAATAAGAAATGAATTTTAATATAGATTTGGGGAAGGAAATATTTTTCTCAAGATATTTTTCTGAGCGCAACAAATAAAATTTCTTTCTATTTAATGGCAATAATATTACATTTCACTTGGAACTATAACCACAAAAATGGAACTTTAGAAAATCTTCTTCTAGGACATCATAATTTCATCCCAGTCACAATTCCCAGCTGTGGAGAAGTTAACACATCGACTTATCTCTAGTACATTTTGTTTCTGGAAGCAATTATAGGATCCTTCAGGGGCAAATGCCCAGGAAGAATGACAGAAACAAAAATGCTAAAGCATGCAGCCTGTGCTACTGTGTAAGCACATTAGCAGCCGCGCTCTGAGAGCCATGGACTCCTACGGTCAAACGCTTTGCACGTAAAGAGGTACATCCCACTGTGGCACCTCAGAGAGGTGCGCAGGGAGCTCCGGGCGCTGGCTATTCCTGCCTGCTACATGTGAGGAACAGTCTCTAGGCTTCATTTCTTAATGCATGAACTTGGTGTAAAATGTGAAGAGGAGATTAAGCACTTGGATAATGTTAAAAAGGATAAAAATGCAGTTCTGTTTGACCTTAAATGAGTTAGGGATTCACTCACCAACCTAGAATAGCTAGATGCTCTCCTTTGCAAATAGAGACCTACAGATCTATGAGAAAAAACTCACATAAGAGATGAAATATAGAAAACAGTAGCCTGAAGCTAGGGGTAAAAAAAAAAAAAAATAGACTCTCAATTAGAAGCAGAGCCATCCAGGGTTTTATATCTGCTGGGTAGCCTGTCTTTGTTTATCCCAACAGTAGCTCCCAGGAGAACACAGTGTACAGAGTCCACAGAAAGAATTTGGTCATACTTTTTCAGAGTGGTTTAGTTTTCAACAATCCACCTTCCCCTAAGGGAAAAACACCTTGAGAACCAATTAGTGGTATGAAGGGCTAGGAGAAAAACATAGTGCTCTGGCAGAAAGATCATTTTGTGATTTCTGGTAAAAACCTAGGGCCAGATGTAAAGGTGGAGGGTCCCTGTGCTTATCTCCTCTTTGCCCCAGGGACACTGCAGTCTGTTACATTTGTATCTCCTCAGTGGGGACAAGAAAAAACACTCAAAACAATTTTTGTAAGACATAATCTGGAATCATAAAATAGACCATGACTTTCTGAGGAGTGGTGGTGGATGATTGGAACAATGGAAGGAGAACAGAAAGATGTATTTTTCCTGTTAATCAGATTTCATGTGAGCAAAGTTCAGGCCTCTCCATTCTTTACTGCAAAAGGTAAACAAGACAAATGGATATTAAACATTCCCAACAAGCCTAAGTCCATGATTGATGCTTCTTACTGTTTAAGATCAGCTATAAATACGCTATCCACTGGTTTTCAATGGTGTGATTGTCTGATTCAGCAGACCAGTATCAGGAAAGAAATTTACATAAATGGAAAGTGAAATCTTTCTGCAAGAAATGGAACTGTTAAGAACTGCTTAGGTAAGGAAACGCTCACTTACACAAACAGGAATATACATATTCAACCACCCACCAATATCTGCTTAAGCTTAAGTTATTGCCCATAAAAAAGCAAAGACGTTTGCTTTTAATTTCCAAAAAGTCATCTCAGTTTCAATTTTACTTGGAATAAATTCTGCAAATAGAGCTGTCATTAGGAATAAGAAGGAGAATGCCAAATTGATAGCCACCAACATGACCAAGGGCCCAGCATCACACACAGCACATGTTTAGATGGCTTGGCTGAAGAAGAGAAGCTAGAGAGGAGAGCACCGCGGGGTGACACTGTTCCTGCGGGAGTGGAACGATGTGAGGAGAGAGCCCATTACAGAGCTGCGCACCGTGGGCTAGGAGTCGGATTTTAGTTCAAGCAGTTCCGGCTATCTGACCATGGCATAGACAATAATCACTGCCAGGTACAATTTCCCCTTTAAAAAATGACACAATAATAATAATAATACGAGTACAAATATATAACACTTATGATGGTGTCCAAGCATATACTAAGCACCAAGTAAAATAAGTGTTAATAGCTACTGTCATTGTTATTATTACTATAATTTCCCCTTGTTGCTGGTTGTGCATTTCTGAGGCATGCTGGGGAGTTCCGCAGATTAACTGTGATGTGTCCCAATTCTTCAACCTCCTCCACAGCCACACCTCCACCACGGTCACGCTGGGGCTAGTGTGTTCCTTTACCACACAGCCTTGGATTCAGCACTGTGACTTTCTTGGGTCAACTCTGTGTGTATGTGTGTGTGTGTGTGTGTGTGTGTGTGTGTGTACTGAGAGCGTACAAATTAAGGGGCAGGCATTAGGAGGCTTTTCCCAAGCGTGCTGGCCCTCTGATGCCCCAGTTACCCTGCTGGTTCAAGGAGGTGATACCCATGGAATATACCCAGAACAACGATGTGCAGCACAAGAAACAGGGAAACCAACCTGAATCAGAGCCACCACTGTGCGCCCAGATGGCCCACGGGGCCATGGAGAAACAGAAGCTGACTAGATGGATTACTGAATGTCTGTGATTATTTAGTGAGAGCTAACCAATCTAAGGATGCATGAAACAGATGTCTATGTACAGCACAATTCTTACTTCCCTGGGGGAGAAAGGCAGCACCTAGTGCAGTGGTGGCAAACCTACGGCACACGTGTGACTGTGTTTTTCTTTTAAGACAAAAGATATTGATATATGAGGTTTTTCTCTTCTTTTTCCTAAACTAAAACATCAGTATTCACATGAATGACAATGCTAGCATTTGCCCTAAGTAAGTGGGTGTGGGCTTCATTTTGGGTACTCGTCTCTAAGAGGTTCGCCATCAGTGCTAGCTAGGGTCTATGCTGAAACAGCAGTCCAAGTGCACATCCATGAAGACAAATGCTACAGCATGTTTACTGTCCAACTTCTACACAGAAGCTGGAGACAGCAGGGCAATTTCCTTGGTGGGAAGTGGTGTGCCGGGGTCTGAGCACAGGCGATCTAGTCAACCTCTGCAATACAGGATTAGCTCAGTGTGAGGGAGGAAAGTACGACGCTTCCTTTTCCTGGAAACACAGAAGCATCTACAAGTCTTCAAGCATAAATACGCATTCCGGGTACCATCTTTATCTTCAAAGGTATACAACATGATAAATGACCTTTAATTTATACTACAATCATCTCAGTTCTCCTGAATTTCAATCTTGCAAGTACAATTTTCACATTTGTTGTCTTTATGTTGACTTATTTTTAGTTTGCTTTTTCTGATTGTGTATCTTTAGGCTCAACTCGGCTAGTTTGAGCAGAAGAATCTCTGCTAGTTTGAGCAGAGCAAACTCAGAGGAATCCTAGCAGAGTAATAAAAAGGATGTAAAAATTATGTTAATTACAGTGAGTTTTTAGAACTATTTCTAGGAAGTCAAGTTAACTACCTAAGATGTGAAAGCAGGCAACTGTTCCTCACATGCATTCACACACACACTTCCTGTAGCTGCTCTAAGAGCGCCTCCATGGTCTCATGCCTTCTTCTCCCCTCCACGCAGACCCCAAGAACACCAGCCGCCTCTCTCACGCATTCGCTAGGTGCACACGTGGCCTCCTCACCTTGAAAGCAGCCCCTCCGTGGATGATGGATTTGATAAAGATCCCCAAGTCCAGTCCAGTTTCTCGGGCTTTGTTCCCTTTCAAGCTCACGCCAAGGCCAGCAGAGCCAGAGTCATTCAGGGGGATCTCAAACGTGAGTGGCTCGCTTGTGTCCAGGGAGAGCGCATAACAGTCAGGTTCTCCTTTCTGTTAGAAAAATGGGAAGAGGAGAACACAGGTTAACAGCTCTCAGATGAGTGCCTCTGACAGGTGTAGTCTCACTCTGGGCGTCATCTCCTTTCTCTGCAGGCAGCCACCACCACATCCATCCAGGGGACAGCTCTCAGGAGGGGCTCCTTCGGGGACAGTTATCCAAGAGGACATGGGACTCGAAATAGGCCATAAGTGTGTGGAAATCGAGTGAACTATTTTTATACTAAAAGAGGCTGGTTGCTAGAATTAGGGATTGTTAGTGTCAGGAGATATCTTAGAGTCGCAGTCTCCACATCTTCATCTTACATCCGATGAAACAGCTCAAAGTAGAAACGTACTAACATTTCGGAGCTATTTCACTTTTATAATTCCGAACATACCATTTACCACAGAGGCGATGCTCTTGTAAGAGATGCCCAGAGGACACAGAACCTGAAGAAATGGTAAAGTTAGAAAAGTGTAACACATAGTGCATATCACTGATTCAAATTCACTGCATCAAAACTCACGCTTTAGGACTCCAACTAAAAACACAGAAATCCCAATCAGGTTTTGGACCTTAAGAAAAATGATTCTGCACAACAAATATTCAGGTCTCCTGATCAGTGACACACAGCCACAAGCCAATGACTCCCAAGAGAGCCAGATTACCATGGTGGAAGGCCCTCCAGGGCTCGAGTCTCCAGGGAGACGGCTGTGGTGGGTAGCACTGGGTTCCCTGTGTCCTCAAACACACAGCTGCCCAGGATGCCTTTGTCAGGGTCCTTCCTGTGCCCCCGCCGGCCTGCAGACATGTGACACCACTACAATGCTTAACAGGAAAATTCGAAAATGAGCCATTCCTGGAAGCCATCAAGCCATTCTCGGCCAGCAGTTCCTTCCTCTCTGTAATTATCTCTAGAGTCGCTCATCTTAAGGTCACTTTGAGGGGATTCTGATGTGAAATTACATATTTAAAAAATTACTGTGGATGTCTGAATGTCAGTCAGGAATAACTATAAAATCAGAAGTGGCAAAGAACCCATAATTAAAACAGAATTAAGGGGTCTATTCATAGCCAGATCCACTGACATGACATTTTTAACCTCTAACAAAACAGAGAACTTGCATACAACTTTTAGAGATATACTTCATTTAATTTCATTTAAATGAGGTTAGCTGTAAAGTTTTTGACCACAGGTTATTCAAAGAAATAGAACTTCATTGCTCAGTTGGATAAAGCTATTACAAGTTAGCTCTTTTTAACTAACTCATTATATTATTAAGAAACAAAATTCTATTATTTGTTGATAAGTAACTGTGTTTTTCCCACCAGGATGCCAGAAGTTACTGCTAATAATTCGCCTTCATCCCTGTCTTACAATATTCACAATTTATAACCTATACGGTTTCCCAGCCTTTTATGGTTCTAGATCTCTCAAAGATTTGGTTAATTTTAGTCTCGCCTTTACTGAATGAAAGTATAAATTAAAAAACAATCGTTGTGATTATATTTCTGCAAACACTTTAAGGGAGAAAATTAGAAGGCTTCTCTGGCTTTCATCTTACTGAGAGAAAGCTATGAAGACTAGTTTTATTTAGAAATGTCATTTAACACTGGGGCGTATGCTAGAAGTGTGCCAACAGGAGATTTCTCTTGTGAACGTCACACAGTGGACTTACATAAGCCAAGCCAACCGTGACATCACGGGCCACGTCCTGCAGCCAAGGGTCACGAGCACGCCATTATATGGCACCTTCAAACCACTTGTTCTGCAATCCAATCAGTTCTCTTTTGGCCAATGTATTTACTTTCTAATAAGATCCACAACTATTATTATTTTACAATGACATTACATTTATTACCTAAAGGTACAAACAAAATAGAGAGTAGGTAGCATCAAGGTAATCTTTGCATTTGAAACTAATTAGTCTTTTGTAAGTCCTTGAAGTCTGAGAGCCAACAGTACAACAAAAACAACAAATTTGGGGCTAAAAATGATTGGTTGGTTCCATTCCAGAAGCTTTGCACGTAGTAATACAATTACTTTTCCTAGCGAAACCTTGAGATGTGTTACATGCCCACTTTTCAGACGAAGACATAGAGGTGCATAGAGGTTAAGTGCCAGACAGATAGCACGCAAGATTTGTCAACACTGGAGCTTTCTGGACTCTGGACAGCATGTTTTCTGGGTTAGTGAAGTGTTCTAAGTTGTCTACTACATTCCTATGTTCTCCATTATTCTACACTCATTTATGCCAAAAATATTGAGTTTTAAGTTGCCGTTTACCTGTGGGTATAATATGTGAATTGCATTTATTATCTTTGAAAAACTACTTTTGAATTGACAAATTAGATACATATACGGTATATCTAATGCTTTAAAGTATGAACACATAGTAAGAAGGCAAACCGAGCTAGTTAATACATGCAGTACCCCACACACTCTTGATTATGCCAGAAGTCTGCTCTCAGTGATTTTTAAGAACGCAATGCATTGTTATTAATTAGAGTCACCATGAAATACAGTGGGCCTCAGGAACTAATGTCTGCTACCACCAAAATTCTGCACCCTTGCCCGACATCTCCTTTGCTCCCCCACTCCCAGGCACCACTGCTCTGCTCTGCACCTCCATGAGTTAGGCTTTGTCAGACGGTAAGTGCTGCACAGCACCCTATGTCCCAGCTTCTGTGGACCATCATGGTGTGACCAAGCCACAGGAAATTCTAAGATGGGTTCCTACAGTGATCGAGGATATATAATTTTACAATCTTCACCGACCCCAGCTAGGCTTTATATCCTCCTTATGCTATACCAGACTCAAGCCATAATTAGTGGTCTCTAATAACAGCAAAATTCCCAGTGGTGAAGGAAGCCATTATAGTAGTTAACCCAGCCATTTCCTCTGTTAGAAATAAATATCCCTTTATCTAATGTACAAAAAAATCAATATGCTGAATGCCTCTTTCTAATAATCCTGGTTCAACTAACAACCCTAAAAATTAAACTCAGATCTTGCCAGACAACATTATGCAGCACATGGAAATAAGTATAAATTACTCCCAAGTGCCTCCGGTGAAGGACCTGTGAGACAGAAAGAGCCCAAGGGCCATATCACAACCAGACCTCAGATCATCCCTGTATCCCTTGCAGACAGGAGGGCTTCTCATACTGTGTCAGGAGTACCCCTTGCTTTTTCCTCCACAGATAACCACATTAAATCAGTGATGGTACTAGTGAGGTGGGGGTGGGGCTGGGGGGATGGTGGCAGTGATAATCCAAACAGGTAGAGCTGGTGCTGGAATAGGAATCCTGGGACAGTCAACCCAAATGCTTCGCCATCAAATATCACCAGGGGTCAGAACCACCTCCAGCTGCTTGGATGTTTTAGTGTATGTGTTGCCAAAGTGACCACATAAAAACCCCTGCTCGGAATCAGCAATTACCTAATTCAGTCAAATTCAAAGAAATTTTGGTCCAAAGAGGCACTTTAGCAGCTGTTGGCTGCATTGTTACTTGCTGATAGGTCCCCAAGTTCCAGGAAGAGGTGGCAACAGACATCACTGAGATCCGTAAGGTCTTAGACTCACAGGTTCAGGACTGACACGTGGCTGGTAAGAGGGAACTACTGGAGAATCACATACTCAGTTATATTTATGGCTATGTGGCAGCTAATTTTCTAGAAACAGAAACGTGATCTCTGTGAGATGAACAGAGTAGGAAAGGTGATAGAAAATACCAAATTTATTGGTACATTTACAAAATGCTTCCTTTTGCTTACATATCCTGTAGAGTTCATTAGGGTAGCGGCCCTGATCTGTAAGCTAGGTTTATTCTTCTCTACTAAGAATGACAGAATTACACAAAAATGGTATTGGTAAGGGTTTAATCATGTGGGAGTAGGATCCAACACAAAGCAAAAACCCTTTCTGCATGCAGTGCATTTCAGTTATGTAATATACATACCTTGGAAATCTACTGCTTACCTAACCTACCTCTTTACCTCATTCCATCTAGATATACAGAAAAATAAAAAATCAAATAAAATACGTCCACCACACTGGATCATCTATTAGCATTTGAGGTGGCTATTTTCTTTTAAATTTTTTTCTGTGTTTCCAAATCTCAATTATTACAAAAAGATAAATGTCTTCTAAAAGAATCTGTGAAGGTATAGCGGCCATTTGCAGTATTACCACACTGCAAACTTTCGAGTAACAGTATCTCTGTAGTGACCTAGACATACACACAGCCCCATGTGCACTGTGACCACTAGGCATGGATTGTCAAACCGAGTGGACTAAGCAAAGCCTAGCAGGCTAGGGGAGCTCAGTTCTGGGCATGTCAGTGGATGACCGACGTGTAGGCCAGTGAGCAGAGGTGGGGGGACTCACCCCAGATGTGGATGGCAGCAGCCAACAAACAGGCTTGTAGCCTGAACAGGATGAAAAAGGACATGGGAAGGCAGAGTCACTATTTTAGAAGCACTCCAGTCTTCGCCAGTGCATCTGGATATGAGTCTCCAGTTTTTCCAGCTTTCCAAAGCAGACTTGCATGGGGCTCCGCAGCGGGTTCCAGGCCTCTGACAGCAGACTGGCACCACAACCTGACCCTTTGCCTTCTGTGACTTCCACCTTCTTGGGCTGGGCAGCCACCAGATCCTCCAACTCTCCAGGGCACAGATGGCCACAGTGGACTCTCCCTCCTGTGATGCCACAGACCACCACTGTGGACACTGCTGCCTGTGATCCCTGGAAGCCTCGCTGTAAATTTCCTTGTGAATAAATTATACATACATACATATATATATATATATATATATATATTCTACGTATGTGTATAAATTCACTATGTGTATATGTATCTTCATATATCTCTATTGATACATTTATGGCTCCTATTAAAGTCACCAGTGACATCCAGGTTACTAAATCCAATGGTTAAGTCTCAGCTCTTCTCTTACTGGGTCTACCAGTAGCCATAAATCTCTTTACCAGTTCCTATTTCTTGAAA